TGACTGGTACTTTTACCTAGATCGTACCGAGATGAGTCTATAGACAAGTAGGGGGCTCGAATTGGAGTTGTAATGAAGAAATTACGATCAAAACAAGCTTAGTGGCAAAATCGTAATCAGAAAACGTCTCCTCTCTCTCTCTCTCTCTCTCTCTCTCTCTCTCTCTCTCTCTCTCGCCCCCTCCCGTCAGATTCCCCCCTCCCTGATTGTACAGCAGCGACGGTTTTTCCACCTCCACACGCCACCGTTTGAGGTGCCACCAGTCCCAAAAGAACCGGCTCTCCTCCCTCTTCCAGTCCCACCCCACCCCAGCCGCAACCGCCGCCGATTTTTGCCAGAAAACGGTTTTTGTGAGAAATTTCACCAAACTCGTTCAAACGTTTTTGGCAACCAAATCTTGTGATCCAAGTATGCTTTTCCATCCTCTCATTGTGATCTAGTTGTTGGCTGTGTTATTTAGGATCAATTTCTGTGTTTTGGTTGTCAAATAAGCGATTGAAGTTTGGCCGACTTTCGGCCCTTGATTCCGACCACTTTTGGCCACTTTTTGAGGTAGGTCCAAGAACAAAAGTTGCTCCAATCAATGTCCTGATCATGTAGGCATAAGTCTTGACTGGCGGTTTGGAGATTTTCCGATCGCCCGAATCACTTTGGACATCAACGAGCTGCCGGCACGTGGGGCATCGCGTGGGCACTATTTTGGTGTCCCTCTTGGTCCTAAAATAATCTTCATGCTATCCCAAGCACGACGGTATGCTCAGATTTGAATTTAGTTATCGTTTGACCATTGATCGGTTATTGCATATTAAGGGTTATTCGGGTTCGACATGTTTGGACTGTTGGATCGACTTCAATTTAATATATGTTGATCTAGGCATTCCTAGAATCGTGTAGGATTTCACGGATCATGAATCGAAGCCCCGGATGTTCCGATTCAATAACTTAAAGTTTGCAATTAAACGATAATCGTCCGATCGTACGATCGCGAGCAATCCGACCATTTGATCCAGACCGAACTTGCAGGATGTGTATTCTAAACCTTGTGGAACCCATAGGAACTTCTGGATTAGAAATCGGAGGTCTTGGGCCCTGTGGGCCTGATCGACCCAATTTGGGAAGTTTGATAACCCGGTTGACCGAGTATCTTCCGAGGTTATCCCATCATCCGAAACACGTAGTTGGCCTTTAGGAACATCTCATTCCTCGTACACTTGAAACCTGGTAAACTAGGATTTTAATGAAAGTTTCCGTTCGAAGCGTTTTATATTAATCTCGTACTTGTATTCTGAATTAGGTACTCTGACCACGCGTATGCAGCAAATGGGACCCTGTAAGGGTAAATCAACATGGGACTACTTGTGAGTGGACATTGTTTTCAAATAATAAGCATTGATTTTATGATGGAAACTTATGCAGGTTGATTTAATGAGTTTATTATTTTTATTCATTATTGAACTTGATATTTCTATATATTTTTGAAATATATTTGGGTTTTGGCATATTGCAAGTATCTTGAGTTAATATATAATATTTTCGAGAATTGCTATATATGTTTGGTTATGTGTGGGGTACATGGGGTGTTGATGTGAGATGATGGAAAGAAAGTGGGTTTTAGTATGTCAGTTGAAGTGCTATACGCACTACCCTATGTACCTCCCCACTTACGGATATTATGGAATGGAATTGGATTATTTAGATACTTGGATATGTTGGAACCTGGGCACCCTTGACAGGGTGTTTCGTAGACCCTTAGCGAAGTAGTCTATTCGTGTAGAACTTGTCACAGGCGTACGAGTCTTGAGGATTCGGTTGTGAGTGTTGGTAGACTCAGTCCCCCGGTTGGACGACTTGTTCCCTAGCCGCATGGTCAATTGAGGATTCTTCCATGTGGACTAGTCAAACAATCCCCGGTTGAATTGTTTCCCTGGTACAAACTATGTGATGTCATATTTATATATATTATACATCTCTTATATTATATATACATATATATATATATATATATCTATTCATTCGTTCTTGTTTCTCAGTAAGGATACTTCCTCGCTTGTCGTGCCAGTGGGCACGCGTTTCGAGAGTTTAGTTTGGGATTGTAAGGAAAAGTTTGGATGGGTTGATTTATAAAGTTTAATTATGGGTTTTCGGATTTAGTTATGGTTTTGACCAAACTATATATCTATATATATATGGTTATGACGGTTTTGAATGCATATGATTTTCGGCATCATTTTTCTAAACGGTGGGGTTATATTATGTTGATTTCAACTGAACTAAACTTTGTTTTTGTCCACTCACACTTTTTTGTTTTGCACCCCCTAGCCAGTAGTTGATTGAACTGAGCAGCAGAGCCAGGTTGAGCTTCCCAATCCCGAGCTTTCGTAGGACTTTTTTTTATTCTTTTCTCTTTGTTGAACTTCCTTTTCATTTGTAAACTAAATTCTTAGATTTATTATTGCCCATACTAGGGTTTGATTTGTGAGGCTGGAGGCCTTTGTTGTAAACTATTTAATCGTTTTCTGAAGCATGCTACTTGTTGGGATATTAAACTTTGTTTTTAACAGGTTGATGGATTTAGGAAATGTCTGTTTTTCAGGGGAGACTCTGCTGAATTTTCAGCAGAAAGTCTCGTGCCCCTTTTCCTTATTTGGGAAAATAGGCTATAGTTTTATTAGTAAGTGGACCCTGGCATTGGTGTGATGTCGGAATTTCCACAGAATTTGTCTTGAGTTCCGAGGAATCTAAGACGGATCCTGTCACGATCCATTAGTTTTTTGGAATTCATTAGTTAATTAAAAATTACATCTTTCAAGGTCAGGTTCAATGAAAACATACAAAAGTACTACAACTAGCACATAATATATATATTTTTATAAATAAAATTTTAAAATTGGCAAAAAGTGAAGTTTATTAAGGAAATTATCCCCACGCAACGCATGGGCTCTATTTAAAATTCTCAAAGTTGTATTCTATTATTAGGCATGCAACCCCATTGTGCGCACTTTTTTTATAAATAAAATTTTAAAATTGGCAAAAAGTGAAGTTTATTGATGAAATTATCCCCACGCAATGCATTGGCTCTATTTAAAATTTTCAAAGTTGTATTCTATTATTAGGCATGCAACCCCATTGTGCGCACATATATCGATTGAGTATGTCCCATGTGGGCTAAATTTATCTTATGTACAAAGATGAGAAAATTTGAATCACAATGTGTATATAAGGATTATTTAAAATCCTCACGCAACATATGTGTAGATATTTAATTCTTAATTACTGCCCAATAATTTGAACTGTCTAAACACTTATCTATTAGCTTATTGTTTGTGTGAATATATTATAGGGCTTGTCCAATATAGGTCCCTACAATTTCTATTTCCTAGATATATACCCATCATTCTATAAATCTATGTGTAAAACCCAATTTCAAACTTAAATGACAAGTAGGATATAAGTGGTCGTAGTATTCCTATGTTTTAACATCCTTACCATCAGATTTCATATTTTATTTATAATTTATTCTATGCATTTCATTAACGGCCATAATTGTTATAAAACTCCCTATTAATAGCATATCAATCACTCCATTTCTTTTGGTTGCCATTCCCTCTAACATATGGCCCCTTAAAATTGCAATATATATATATATATATGTAAATTACATATCCAATAATGTACATATGAAAAATATAAACATAAATATATACTTATAAAAATATAGGTATATTATTTACCAAAAAAATTAACAAAAATAGGTCAGTTACTTTGTAATTGAAATCTTCGTACATTTTTCATAAATTAAAAATAGGTACATAATAATTTATAGAAAAATAGGCACGTTGTATAATGAAATTTATGCACATTTTTATAAATTAAAAATAGGTACATTATTTTGAGAGAAAAAACTAGGTAAATTATTTTGAGAGAAAAAACTAGGTAAATTAAAACTAGGTACATTATTTTGAAAGAAAAAACTAGGTAAATTTTTTTTTTTAAAAATTGTTTTCATAAAACAAACAACAAAAAGATGATCAAATTATTTTTCATAAAACAAGAAATTAAGAAAAAAAATAGGTACAATATTTGGAGAAAAAATAGGTTCATTAAAAAAAAATGTTTTAAAAACAAAAAAAATGAATAGATTATCGAATTATTTTTCAACGTAATTAGAATGTACACTATTATTCATAAAACTATAATAAAAAAGAATATTGGTCATATAATTCATAAAAAGAAAACAACATTAATTCCTAAATTTAATATTGAATTTAAATTACTAATACTTTAAATAGATTACTAGTCGTAATTCATAAAAGAAAAACACCATTAATTCAAAAATAGATTACTAGTCATAAAATAGATTACTGATACTTTAATGTGGAATTTAATATTTAATTTCAAATAAGTTTCTAAGTTAGTTCCTACATCCATTATAATTATTTGGAGATCTTTCCAAATTCAACGGGTATCATTAGTTACACCCCCCATAACACATTAACTTATAAATAGGGGTAGTTTTGGAATCCGAAAAATACAATAAATCAGATTTTAAGTTATATTAGGTAACTTGTTTAGTTGAATCCTAGTCATCGGGTATTATTTGAAAAAAGGGAGTTTCACTAAAACACCCAAAATGGGGGTTGAAATTATAAAAAAATCCAAGCACTATTTAAACATATAAACACGTCCAAAACACATCATTACACACACTCAAAACCCATTTATAAACACACCCAAAAAGTTGACTTTGGGGTTGATTTTGGGTGTGTTTCTATGTTTAAATAGTACTTGGGTTTTTTTATAAATACATGTCTAGGATTGGGTTTATTTATAAATTTGTATTGAAGAAATTGGGTATTTTAAATAGAAAACTAAAAGAAAGGGTTGTAGGTAATTTAAAATGAATTTTATGGGTCTAAGCTCAATTTACTATATATTTATTATATATATACCCACCACCACACAGAAGTGAGAACCAAACTATCAACAAATATTTAGAGAAAATGAATGTTCGAGTTGAAGTTATCTCCAAGCAGATCATCAAACCCTCTTCTCCAACCCCAAACCATCTTCGCCATTACAAATTGTCTTTTCTTGATCAAATATCTCCCCCATTATATACGTCTGTTCTTTTCTATGAATTCAACAGAGAGACCCAACCGGTCATTACTGAAACATCAAAACACCTTAAGAAGTCCTTAGCCGAGGTCTTAACGCTTTTCTACCCACTAGCCGGGCGGGAAAAAATCCACAACCATTTTGTAGAATGCAACGATGAGGGCATCCCCTACCTTGAAGCTCAAGTAACCAACTACCGACTTCATGATGTTCTCAACAATCTGGTCCCTGATGAACTCAATAAATTTATCCCATTTTCACTGGACGAGCATATTGCAAATGAATTTTCCCTCGGTCTCCAGCTCAATATGTTTGATTGTGGAGGCTTTGCCATTGGTCTATGCATTTCTCACAAGCTTGCAGATGGACTGTCCATGCTCGTGTTCACCAAAACTTGGGCTGCTATTGCCCGTGGAGAGACCGACGAAGCCAAAATGGGGCGTCCCCAATTTGTTTCGGCCACACTCTTCCCACCGAAGGAGACCGGTATCACAAAGAATAAAGTAACAAAGAGGTTTGTTTTCGATGCCTCTACGATAGAGGACCTCAGAGCAAAATATACAGACTTGCAAAAGAATGAGAAACACCCATCACGTGTTGAGACCTTGTTAGCTTTCGTGTGGAGGCGAATTGTGGGAGCTACCAGGGCTGATCATGATGATGATAATAAGATGCACAGAGTGATCTATACTGTGAACTTACGTCCACGGATTGAACCACCGTTGCCTCTATACTCTTTTGGAAATATTTGTCGTATTTCCTTGACTGCTCCCTTATCACGTAAACGTTCTAGTGGGGATGATGAGGATCAAGAATCTTGTTGTTAGTTCTAGGGAGAAGAGAGGCTTAGGATAATAGCTTGATGATGAATAGAAAGCTTTTGAAAAAGTAACAAGATAATTTTATTTTATTGATTGAAATAAGAAGGGTACAAGAGCTTTAGAGATAGTTGGATACAAGAGGTGGCTGATGGGGGTTTAGACAGCTGGTAGTTTTTCAGCTTTCTTAACTTGAATACATAATTGGGCTGCTATAGCTATATATAGAGTAGCTAAACCGACTCAAAGGATGGTAAATATCTAGTGAAGTCGGTTATTGCATAGTAACCGACTTCCAAAGTGTTTTCCAGCCATTAGTTATAATATAAGTCTAGAATTTTCTAGTTACAATACATTATATAATTAATTGGATGTTTCTAGTTGTCATCTTTTCTCAATTTTTCTAGATTTTTCTATATTATTCTAGTACAAGTGTGCATTATTTTTTAACACTTGTTATGGCATGGTAAGGCGCGGGTACAAGAAGCACTAAGCAAGGTTGACAAGGACGTGAAAACACTAGAACACGGTGGTGAGCACTTGAGGGTCATGGACCGGTTTGCTCAAAGTTCTAGCACAGGGGAGGTGGTTACTTCTTCCTACACTAGTTTGTGCCAATTTCCTGTCTATGATATTGATTTTGGTTGGGGAAGACCTACATGGGTGGGCTTACCACCACTGCCCATAAATGACCTAATACTTTTCCTGGACACCAAAGAGGCTGGTGGAATAGAGGCGTACGTTACCCTGTCGGAGGAAGTCATGACTAAATTCGAAAGTGACCCCTTCCTTCAAGGACGGGTGAGCACGGGCGGGTTTGGTTCTGCTGCTGATTCAAGCTTGCTTCGTCAACCGGCCCTGCTCAATCATGTTACAAAATTCATACCCAAAATCAGCCGTTTGTAATTAAGAAACGAACCCAAAAGAAACTAATGAAGCTTTTCAAAAAATAGTTGGCATTAAAAGGCTTCGCAATACAGGCCCAATTCTTGATGAAAATGTTGGCTATAACCCAAGTATTTGAATTGATGAATCGCGACCCATTGACTCGGATTATGATCAGTTTTCATTCTCCCAGAGATAGTTAAGAAAATTACAACCACTGCCATCGGGAGAAAAGCACATTCAATTCGTCGACGTTGCTGCTGAAATCAAGCTGCGTTGGTTACGTATTCAATTGAATGGCAGCATACAAACGCTACATAATAATAATTATTCCCTACATATTACGCAAAACATATGAGAGCAGGTTGCCGTCGGCCGGAGTTGGGGCAGATTCTGGTTTTGTTGTTGTTGCCGATTTCTTGTCATTCAGGCAACTTCCTTTTGTACCTGGATAGGATTCGATTTCTTTTGTGTTGTACCTGTACAACTTAATAACCACACAAGAATGTTTTGGCTTGTACATCAGCATGATGGAGCCCTTATAGATACCCAGCCATTACAAACAGTAGGGTAAATCCCTATTTACACGTAAGAGTTATCAACAATTTAAAACACGCCTAAACAATCTTAGATAGAATCCGAAAAACACAATCAGATAATATCAAGAGTTGGAATTTGAATGTAGAGATTTGTTCTGTCTAACATGCCCCCGCAAGTGAACAGGTTGAGAAAGAACCGAAAGCTTGGAAAATTGAAGGTGAAATGTGTCGCATTGGAAAGTTGAGAAACCTATCAAAGGCTTATAAAGAGTTTAGGGTGGAATCTTGTGCGGTGAAAGTCAAATTCCACTCAAATTCGATCCCGAATTATTGATCTTAAGCTTACAGAACAAAAAATTCAACCCCAGATCAGCAGAGAGACCCAAATACTAAGCTCTAATATTGGATAATTCAACAAGCAAACAACAGCACGTGAAAAATTTACAGAGCAGACTTCCTTGTAATGGGTTCTACTTCTAAGACACTAGGATTCATGAAAGCAAAAGCAAGAAGTTCCTGATCCTGTTCAAAAGCAGCCATGTCTTCCTCACTCAAAGTCACCCAAGCCTCTATGCCACCATCCTCTCTTGTGCTCACCAAAGAGGCAACATTATTGTTTGAAGCAGCAGGGACATTACTAAGCCAGATTGGATTTCCCCACCCAAAACTTACCCCGTACAATAACTTATAATTACATAAATCTGTGCCCACATAAAAGTTAATAATGTCATCTCTTTTGATAAACTCATCTGCCTCTTTGAAAGACTTACAAACCACCTGCAATGCCTGATCTTTTTGAAGTCTTTTGGTATAACTGTTGCTCAATTCTTTTATTCCTTTCCTCAGTTTTACAACCAAGCCTTGCAGCTCCAACTTAGTCTCATCTGTATGTGCAGCAAAGTATCCCACAAGGTTCCCAATTGAGTCATCTGACAACGGCGGCACGACCCTTTTGCGGATGTCCACAGATTGGGACAAGACAGATAGCTTAGGAGACTGCAGTGAGCTTGATGATCTTGATGCAGCAGCCACTACACATCTCCAGATGAGGGCTGTCACAGCTTCGGCACGCGTAGGCTGATCCACGATTGCACTGGCCGCTTTAGTCCTAAGACCTGCAATCTTGGATGCATAAAAAACAAACCTCTTTGTCACACAATTCACTCTCTTCACATCCACTGAAGACTGCTGGAATGAGGAGGCGTGATCAGTTGGTGGAAATCGGAACGATGCAGAGAAATCTGGAAGTAGAGCTTGACTAAATCCAAGGGCAGTGGCTGACCAGGCCAGAATGAATGTGCTCAATGAGGCTGCATCGGCCAACTTATGTGACATACAAACCCCAATTGCCAATCCACCACAATCAAAGACATTGGCCTGAACAAGAAGCAGAGGTCCCCTGCCTGCTTCAGGGGACTCTGCGTCTACAGGAAGGAGCTTTCTCAGTGTCTGAGCATCAGGTTTTGAGAGAAAGGTAGACAGAAGGCCATTGACTCTAGCTTCCACATAGTCAACCCCATGGTCATTGCAATCAATGGAGATGTTACCTTTGATTCTTCCGGCAAGCGGGTAGAAGCGAGTTAAGGTTTCGGACAGTGATTTCTTGATGATCCAGATGGATTTTTGGGGGGTTGCAATGCCATTTTTGGGGTAGAAGAGGACCAGGGGTTCATAAGCAACAGGACCAAGTTGATCCAAAAGTGAAAGCTTGAAGTTTCTAAGATAATGGGGAGTTGGAGAGGATGGTTTTATGGTTTCTCTCTTGATTATTTCAAACTCCATGATCCGCTTCAACTTCTCTTTGGTGAATCACAATTCACAAGACTGACAACACACAGAACAATTGAACAATTGGGTTGCATGAATGTTGCTTGCTCATAAGAACAATCTGGCCTGACAGATGTGTGAATGTTATGTAATATGATCTAGCAACTGGGTTGAAAAGCTTCAAAAGTTAACAAAAGATGCCGGCCAGAGGTAATGCAGGTTGAAAAGAATCAAAATGCTTTTCCAAAGTGAACAAAAAGTGTCCGTAAAAAAAGCCCTTCACAGAATTGAGATAAACACAAAATAGAAAGAAATTTAGTTTGAGATTACATCTTTCTAAATTCTATAACAATTTTAAAAAAATCATATCTCACGAACGACAATTATTAAAATAAAAAAAGAAAAATTCGACGAATAGTCAGCTAAGGCCAGCAGCATCTAAGAGCTATTGAATTTGAAGCATATAATTTGTATGTATCTTTTGGAGTTATGAATACTATTCATCATGTAAATAAAATATGTGAAGCTTAGGCGAAGTCGTGCTTCCAATAATGATATATGTACAAGGTCCTATTAGCTTTATGAATAAAAAAGATTATCCCTTAAGCATTCTATTTAGAAAAATTTAATAAGCATTGTATCCTTAAGCAACTACCTTGACTTTTAATACGAAGACAAATAGAGTGGGTGGGAACTTGGGACATGATGAAGCAAGCAATGGCGTCAAAAATTAAAAATGTATAAACTAACTAGAGGACATTAGTTTGTAAATAAAAAAATAAAATAAAAAACCTTGTAAATTATAAAATTTAACCGAAGCACAATTCCAAAGGATAATTGGATTCTCGGTACAAGAACTTACATACTGTCATGTCATGTTACCAACTAACAATTTATAAGTGTACATGTATTTATTTATTTATTAATTAATATACTCTCGGTCTTTGAAATATCAATTATGTCACTCGTTCATATTTATTTAACTGAAGCACCATTTCACACACCTAGCCTAGTATCAACGATTTTCAAATGGGACTGTGGGATGTTTTTTAATTTTTCGGATCAATCGGAATGGGAGATTCGAATTTGAAAATCTTCCAGCATTGAGGGAAGGTTAAAATCATTATCCAAGATTACGGCAACCAAATGGGCAGGAGTTGATTGGTTATTTGAATGTTTCCCATTTCTTGGGAGTGTCGTTAAGCTATTGTCTTTAGCTATAAATCATATTATATATCATGAGTTAACCATAGTATAAGTTCTATATAAATGTAAATATTAAAACATATGCATTTGTAGTTTAAATGGTTAAAAGCATTTATCTGTGTATTTGAGGTCCTAGATTCGATTCCCCATTTCTCAATATCAATTGTATAAATAAATAATATATCAACAAAACTTGACCTTTAATATGAAGACAAATGGAATGGTTGGGTACATGATAAGGAAAGAAATGGTGTCAATTTATTTATAAATGAAAAATTGGAAACTTGTTCATAAACTATGTCATTCAACTGATGAACAGGGTGGGAAAGCATCGTGCCAATGATTGAGTATATAGAACATGATTCAAATGGGGACTGGATGTATTTGGCCAATTGCACTTCCACAGTACATAGACAAGATCATATGCTTGAAGACAGTAGATAAGCTATCAATGTTGTTCCTTCCCTTTTTTTTTTTTCAATTTATTTAAGGACACAATTAAGTGGTGATCAAACTTGGATTTACAGAAGCATATCGGAGCAGTTCCACATTACTTTCAAATAAGGCCATGCTTTCTTGGCTCATAGTCAACCAAGCTTCAATTCCATTGCAATCTCCTTTATCCATCAAAACAATTATATTCTTAATTGCAATGCTAATTACACTCACCCATGATGGCTTTCCCCATCCGAAATCGGCTTCATAGAAAGGAAACCTACACCAACTTGTGCAGCTATAAATCTCCATTTCATCATCATTTTTCAGCTTACTGTGCTTATCTTTGATCCCTTGCCATGCCTCATTTGAATCAAAGACAAGTTTTTTAGCATACTTTTCTTTCAGTTCTTCAATCCCTTCCCTCAATTTAGCAACCAAGCCTTTTAGATCTATGGTACCCTCTTCAGCCGTTGATGTAAAAGAGCCCACAACATTCCCAACCAAGTTTTCTGGCAAGGGTGGCACAACCCTTTTGCGCAAGTTCACATCTTGACAGAACCCAGATCGTCTTTGAGTCCCCAACTTTGATCTTGATGACGCTTCCATTGCACATTTCCAAATGAGTGCTGAAACCGCTTCTACACGTGTAGGTTTGGGCACGACTGAACTGGTTGATTCAGATTGGAGAGCAGCGATCTTTGATGCATCAAACACAAACCTCTTTGTTATGCAGTTTTCTACTTTTATAACTTCCCTGGCTGGTGGTTGTGTGCAGTTAGAGAAATCTATTGGTGGAAACACAGGTGCAGCACCAAATTTTGGAAGCACTAGTAGTACCTGATCACTGTCTCTGGACCCAAAGGCTATTGTGGCCCAACACTTGATGAAAGTGGATAGTGTGGATGCATCAGCAATCCTATGTGAAATGCTCAACCCAATTGCCATTCCACCACACTCAAAACAGTTGATTTGTACACGAAGCAACCGGCCTGTGCTTGCCTCTTTGGATTCATATTCAATTGGAAGGAATTCTTTCAACATCTGAGCATCTGGGTGTTCCAAAATCTCCGATAAGGAACAGTTGATTCGTGCTTTGACAAATTCAGCTCCTGCATCATTGCATTCGACCATGGCTTTACCTTCAATAATCCTTCCTGCTAAAGGGTAGAAGTGAGTGAGAGTTTTGCTTAATGATTCAATTAGATGCTGACATCTTTCATTGATGGCCACGACATGGTCATGGTGACCAGTTCTGACCTTACTAGTAGAGCCAGTATTGGGATAGTAGAGTAGGATTGGGATGTAAATTACAATTGCTGTCTGATCGAAAAAAGAGAGCTTAAAACTTCTCAAGTGAGGAGGAGTTGCGGAGGATGGTTTAATTGTTTGCCTCTCGATAATTTGTACCTTGGTTTCTGTGGCCATCTTACTTTGCTCCAGCTGATGCCTTCCTGGTTCATGTAAACACATGTGGGTTAATCATATATAGACCCTCCCTGGTATACATATTTTTTTAACAGCAACTCTATGCGAAGTACCAAAGTCTAGTATTGTTAGCTTGACCCCATATCGTCCAAAAATAATATTCTGTGCTAAATAGTTCTAAGGTATGCATAATATACATAGAATAATGAGCTAGTAATTGAAAATTAAATCTGTTTAGTTGAAAGCAATACATTGTCCATCGTTTCCACATCGAGAACAACATCAGACCAACAATTCAAAGTAAAAAGAGAGATCATCAATTTTCTAACATAGCATAGGTGTGAATTCTAAAAGCAAGAGGAGGACTTTTTGGTACAAATTAATAACAGATGACACTCTGACTCAGATACAGAGAAGCATGTGCAAGCTTCGAGGATCATGACGATATTTCCTTTATTAAACAAGTTCGTCACTTTAGAAATGGTACTTGAGATGCAGAAGACGCAGATTAATTTTTGTGTACTAATTAATTACACGACACTCGGATTCAGAGAAGCATATGCAAGCATCTCCTGGTTGCTTTTGATTATGGCCATATCTTCGTCTTTCAAAGTCAAGCGCACTTCTATGCCAATCCCATCACTTACATCCACCAATGAAATCATGTTCTTGATTTCTACAGTACTAGGGATACTCATCCATGATGGCTTTCCCCATCCAAAATCGGCTTCATAGAAGGGAAACCTGCACCAACTGGTGGAACAATAGGTGTCTATATCAACCTTTCCAACGAGCTTCGATAACTCAATGCACCGTTGGAACACATCCTCTCTACTAATACCATTACCATATTTTACCTTAAATTCTTCCAAGCCCTTCCTCAATTTAGAAACCAAGCTTTTAACATCATGTTCTACTTCCCTCTCCTCTGTCTTTGCTACAGAGTAGCCCAGAAGATTTCCCGATAAGTTTTCTGCCGGGGCCTGCGGCAATATCTTCCTCATGTTCACAAATTGACACCACACAGATGGCCTTACAAAATCTGAGTTTGATCTTGATGCTTCCATTACGCATTTCCAAATGAGCGCTGACACTACTTCAACACGAGTTGGGTTTGGCACAGCAGCACTGACAGCTTTTGACTTAAGAGCAGCTATCTTGGAGGCATCAAACACATATCTCCTTGTTATGCAATTTTCCTTGACAAAGTCAATGGAAGGTTGTGGTGAATTGAGGAAATCCAGAGGTGGGAAAAGAGATGCTGCAGCACCAAATTCTACAGGAGGCACAACATGGTCAGTATTGGCTGAGCCAAGGGCAATTGCAGCCCAGCTATTAATGAATTTGCAGAGTGTATAAGCATCAATGATCTTATGTGAAATGTTGAGTCCAATTGCCACCCCACCACATTCAAAGAAGTTGGCTTGGACTAGTAGAAGATGGCATGTGCCTGATTGTGCCATGAATTCTAATTCATTTGGATGCAACTGTTTTTGTATCCCAAGATCTGGCTTCTCCAATATCTTTGACATCAGACAGTTGACTCTGGCTTCAACAAATGTAGCCCCATGGTCATTGCAACAGATTGAAACATCATTAGATTGAATTGTTCCTGCGAAGGGATAGAAGTGACTGAGGGTTTCGGATAATGACCTTTTTAGAAGCTTGGATCTTTCAGCAGCCGAAGCCGGAGAATGGTGATCACTATTATTGCTGGGATAAAAGAGAAGTAGTGGGACATAAACTTGAGGAGTAAGCTGATCAAAAACAGAAAGGTTAGAACTTCTGAGGTGGTGAGGAGTTGGAGAGGATGGTCTAATTGTTTCCTCCCGACTGACATCAACCTTGATTTCTGAAGTCATACTTTTCTCCGCACTTTCAAAGTTTCATAACACAGACCGTCCATATAAAGACATCACAGCTGCAGCTCGGCTGGGATGAAATTCAACTTCTTTGTTTTATTCAGCTTATTGGACCATCTCCAACCATGTTGAGATTAGACTCAAATTTTTTTTTTTTGGTTTGAACCACGAGGTGGTCCTGGATGGGCCCCAACTATGGGTGGCACCTTTAAGCCTTAACCACAACCCAGACTAATCCCCGCTCACACCGGGTCGGCCCGTAAGGGGTAAAGTGCTGGCCAAAGTGGTGACTCCATACGAGAGCAGGGATCGAACCCCTGACCTTCTCTTAAGGAATGAGAGTGCCGAACCACTCACACCAACCACCTTGGTTGATTAGACTCAAATTTTCACCCACTAAAATACAACTATTCATGTATTTTTAGGACTCAAATTGTTTTTTCCTCCAACCTTGCAGACTCATAATTTGAGTATGCAATTTATTAAATTGTTTAAGAATGGTTAATCACTATTTTTTTTATTGTTAATTTTTCTTGACATTATTTTTGTTTCAACATTCATGATTTAATTTTCTGAATATTTTGATCTAAAAAAATCCAAAAATAATTTCACTTAAAGAATAAAAGCAAGTACAATGAAAAGATGGGTATTTATAGAGTTTGGGATGAGTTTTGAGATTAGATCTAATTTAGATTAATTATAAAAATTATTTGACCATTGAATTTAAATTTCAGCAGTTAGATGTGAATTTTTCCCGTCGAGATTGCCTAAAAATAATTGTGTCCATTGATTATATATAGATGTTGGAATTAAAAATAAAATAAAATGGGAAACATCAACTTCTTTGGAATAGCTGTTGGTATTTAAACAAACAAAAATGGATCAAGAGCTTTCAAAATGGAGCTGTTGGATTTCAATGCCTCCTTCATGTGCCATGATGTCACATGGAAAGGAGGGAAGTGGTAGACATCAGTCTGCAGCACAGGGTCCTCTTTTTTTTTTTTTTTTTGCCTTTTACATGGGCTGCACTTTTTTTTGCCTTTTACATGGGCTGCACAGCTGGCTATTGGGCTCCACAAAAATTACCGATCCATGCAATATCTAGACTGGTATTCAGCCAATATTCCGCTTGGACTCAAATTCCACCTGCCCAAATACATGGGTTGGAGATGAATTTTGGGCTCAAAACCCAAATTTTGTCATTTCACCCCTTGAGTTGGAGATGGTCTTATATTATCCAAATAGTATACACATCATAACAATTTAACAACTAGAAGGGGATTAAAGAAATATAATGGCCGTCTGATTGAAAAAAGAGAGCTTTTAACTTCTCAATTCATCAAGTTGGGGGGATGGTAAATTTTTTTGCCACCTCTCAACAATTTCTTCCTCTGTTTTAGTAGCCATCTAACTTTGCTCCTGCTGAGGCCCTCTAGATCATTTGTTTGGTTGCAGATCATGCAAAAATTTGTGAATTGTTCATATTTGTATAAACAAAAATTCTGGTAGCAGGTATGTTCTGATAATCACAATTATAATCTTCCTAATCAACGGCTATCAGAAGACTTAGGCTAAGACTGTTAGTTAGGCTAAGACTGTCAGCTGGCAGCTCTTAGATGGTGAAGGCACTCGTATTAATATTAAGAGCACTAATTAAATTATTAATAATAATGAGAAAATTAGTCCTTTATTCTTCTACTCTCTTTAAATTCAATGCAAAGTTCCAAAGTCTACGATGGTTTGGTTGGATTTTATCCTGTCGGATACAAGTCATCATCAAATGGAAGGTTTACTTGACTCCATATCGTCCAAGAATATATTCTACAACTAATTTTTGTCAAGCAAAGTAGGGCAAATATTCAATTATGCTTCTATTTTTTAGATATATATTCTTCTCCAATATGGAGGTATTTATAAAGAAGTACAAAGATGTGTTAACCTTAAACACAATAGGAAATAAATCTCAATTACAATAGGACTAAATAAATGGGTAAGTAACCAAAATCCTAACTAAGTAAGTATTCGCCAACACTCCCCCTCAAGTTGGGGCAAAGATGTTTTGCATGCCCAACTTGACAGTCATAGAACACCATACTTGACATTGACCAATCGAAGAACTGTAGAGAAGGTCTTTTCGTAAACAATGAGTGAAACAATTGACAAACCAAAGTAAAGATCGCAGCAGAAACATAAGAGCAAACCCTAAAAAATAAGACACATAGTAGAACACAGAAACCCTGTGAACATGGCAAAGGCAAAGCAAAGAACACAAAAACCCTATGAACACGACAAAGAACACAGAAACCTTGAACATGGCAAAGACAAAGCAAAAAACACAGAAACCATGCGAACAAAACAAAGGACATAGAAACCTTATGAACATGGCAAAGGCAAGGTAAAACCAAACCCTAAAAATAAGGTAAAGCAAAGGCAAGACAAGGCAAAGCAAGGTAAGGCAATGCAAATAAAGGCAAAGGTCATGGCCACAACAATGGTAATGGCAATGACCACAACAATATGAAGCAAACAAAGGCAACATCAACGATGGCAGTAGAGGCAACAACAACAGCAATGGAAACGGCAACGACAAATTCTTCTATATCAACTTTAGCTAATTCATGCAGAAATAATTGCTCTTTACACCCCCTCTCCCCCCCTGAAGAGAAGGGGTTGTCAGAGTCAAGGAATAGACAATATCTTCATGGCAAAGAGAAACAACTCCTTTTTATAATAGGACTAAATAAATGGGTAAGTAACCAAAATCCTAACATAGTAAGGAACTAAAATCCTAACTAGGTAAGGACTAGCCAACAATTTTAAGACCAATAATCAAAGCAATGAGTGATATCATCAAAGGTAACAACATAACATTCATATTAATTTTGTTACTAATTAGTTACACATGGTCGACTAGCTCTTCGTCTAGTGAGATTTCTCTTTTATTGGAAGAGGTTCCAATAAGTTTGAATCTCTCTTTTGCTCGAGTACAAAGAAAAAAAGGAGGAGGAAAAATTACAGGTCGAGACTCGGATTCAGAGAAGCGTATGCAAGCAGCTCCTGGTTACTTTCAACTAAGGCCATGTTTGCCTCTTTCAAACTCAATCTTACTTCTATACCATTCCCATCTCTTTCATCCATCAATGAAATTATGTTCTTGATTTCTACAGCACCAGCTGGGATACTCATCCAGGATGGCTTTCCCCATCCGAAATTGGCTTTGTACAAGGGAAACCTGCACCAACTGGTGGAACAATAGTTGTTGTCCGTATCCACCTTTCCAATGAGCTCCCCTAACTCTTTGCACAGCTGCAACACATCCTCCCCACTAATTCCATTAGCAAAAATTGCCTTAAATTCCTCAAAGCCCTTCCTCATTTCAGCAACCAAGCTTTGAACGTCATGATCTACTTCACTTTCTTCTGTCCTTGCTACAAAGTACCCGAAGAAATTTCCCAATAAGTCGACTGTCAAGGGCAGAACCATTATTTTCCGCATGTTCACAACTTGACACCATGCGGATGGCCTCGCCGAACCCAAGTTTGATCTTGATGCTTCCATTACGCATTTCCAAATGAGCGCTGACACTACTTCAATGCGTGTTGGGTTTGGCACGGTGGTGCTGGCAGCTTTGGACTTTAGAGCAGCAATCTTTGAGGCATCAAACACTAATCTCCTTGTTACACAATTTTCGTGGACAAATTCCAAGGGAGGTTGTGGCGAGTTGAGGAACTCCAGAGGTGGTAAAAGAGAAGCTGCAGCACCAAATTGTGCAGGAGGCACTACATCAGTAGTCGTAGTGGAGCCAAGGGCAATTGCAGCCCAGCTATTAATGAACTTACTGAGTGTATAAGCATCACCGGCCTTATGCGAAATGGTGACTCCAATTGCCACTCCACCACATTCAAAGAAGTTGGCTTGGACTAGAAGAAGATAGCATTTGCCTGATTGTGTCCTGCATTCTATATGATTTGGAACCAATTGTTTCTGCATCCCAAGATCTGGTTGGCCCAAAATCTGTGATATGGGACAGTTGACTCTGGCTTCAACAAATGCAGCCCCATGGTCATTGCAGCTTATTGAAGAATTATATTTGAATTCTCCGGCCAAGGGGTAAAAGTAAGTGAGGGTTTCAGATAATGATGTTTTTAGAAGGACGGATCTCTCAGCAAACAAAGAATGGCGGTGATCAATATTATTGACCTCATCACTACTGCTGGGATAGAAGAGAAGTAATTGGACATAAACTTCAGATGTGACCTGATCAAAAACAGAGAGATTGGAAATTCGCAGGTGGTGAGGAGTTGGAGAGGATGGTTTAATTGTTTCCTTGCAAATGACTTCAACCTTCATCTCTGTAACCATCTTTTGCTTCTAACTTGACTTTCATAACAAAGATCCTCCATATATAAAGACACATATTTAATCAACAATAATTCTAGGCTCACCTAATTTTTCTCCAAATGGTTTATTAGATAGGATTTTTTTGTAAGTATTTTGTGCTTATCTTATAAATGAATGGATATTTATATAGTCCCATAAAAAAATGTAAATTGAACCATAGTTATTAATTTGCTTAAATTTTGTCATATGCCGAAAGGAATCTATTTGCTTTTATTCCTCAAGTGTGTATAATTAATTCATGTTAATTCGATATCGGACAGTTGACTTTTGCTTCAAGATGAAGCTTCATGGTCATTGCATGTCATTGAAACATTATATTTGAATTTTCATGCGAAGGGTTACAAGTGAGTGAGGGCTTCAGATAATAATTGTTTGCCTCTCGATAATTTGTACCTTGGTTTCTGTGGCCATCTTACTTTGCTCCAGCTGATGACTTCCTGGTTCATGTAAGCACCTGTGGGTTAATCATATATAGACCCTCCCCAGTGTACATATTTGTTTAACAGCAACTCTATGCAAAGTACCAAAGTCTACTATTGTTAGCTTGACCACATATCGTCCAAAAATAATATTCCATGCTAACTAGTTCTAAGGTGTGCATAATATACATAGAATAATGAGCTAGTAATTGAAAATTAAATCTGTTCAGTTGAAAGCAATACATTGTCCATCCTTCTGCATCGAGAACGACATCAGACCAACAATTCAAAGTAACAAGAGAGATCAAGAGGAGGACTTTTTGGTACAAATTAATAACAGATGACACTCTGACTCAGATACGGAGAAGCATGTGCAAGCTTTAAGGATCATGACGATATTTCCTTTATTAAACAAGTTTGTCACTTTAGAAATGGTACTTGAGATGCAGAAGACGCAGATTGATTTTTGTATACTAATTAATTACACGACACTCGGATTCAGAGAAGCATATGCAAGCATCTACTGGTTGCTTTCGATTATGGCCATATCTTCATCTTTCAAAGTCAAGCGCACTTCTATGCCAATCCCATCACTTACATCCACCAATGAAATCATGTTCTTGATTTCTACAGTACTAGGGTTACTCATCCATGATGGCTTTCCCCATCCAAAATCGGCTTCATAGAAGGGAAACCTACACCAACTGGTAGAACAATAGGTGTACTATATCAACCTTTCCAACGAGCTTCGATAACTCAATGCACTGTTGGAACACATCCTCCCTACTAATTCCATTACCATATTTTACCTTCAATTCTTCCAAGCCCTTCCTTAATTTAGAAACCAAGCATTTAACATCATGTACTACTTCCCTCTCCTCTGTCTTTGCTACAGAGTACCCTACAATATTTCCCAATAAGTTTTTCGCCGGGGCCTGCGGCAATATCTTCCTCATGTTCACAAATTGACACCACACAGATGGCCTTGCAAAATCTGAGTTTGATCTTGATGCTTCCATTACGCATTTCCAAATGAGCGCTGACACTACTTCAACACGAGTTGGGTTTGGCACAGCAGCACTGACAGCTTTTGACTTAAGAGCAGCTATCTTGGAGGCATCAAACACATATCTCCTTGTTATGCAATTTTCCTTGACAAAGTCAATGGAAGGTTGTGGTGAATTGAGGAAATCCAGAGGTGGGAAAAGAGATGCTGCAGCACCAAATTCTACAGGAGGCACAACATGGTCAGTATTGGCTGAGCCAAGGGCAATTGCAGCCCAGCTATTAATGAATTTGCAGAGCGTATAAGCATCAATGATCTTATGTGAAATGTTGAGTCCAATTGCCACCCCACCACATTCAAAGAAGTTGGCTTGGACTAGTAGAAGATGGCCTGTGCCTTATTGTGCCATGAATTCTAATTCATTTGGATGCAACTGTTTTTGTATCCCAAGATCTGGCTTCTCCAATATCTTTGACGTCGGACAGTTGACTCTGGCTTCAACGAATGTAGCCCCATGGTCATTGCAACAGATTGAAACATCATTAGATTGGATTGTTCCTGCAAAGGGATAGAAGTGAGTGAGGGTTTCAGATAATGACCTTTTTAGAAACTTGGATCTTTCAGCAGCCGAAGCCGAAGAATGGTGATCGCTATTATTGCCAGGATAAAAGAGAAGTAGTGGGACATAAACTTGAGGAGTAAGCTGATCAAAAACAGAAAGGTTAGAACTTCTGAGGTGGTGAGGAGTTGGAGAGGATGGTCTAATTGTTTCCTCCCGACTGACATCAACCTTGATTTCTGAAGTCATATTTTTCTCCGCACTTTCAAAGTTTCATAACATAGACTGTCCTTATAAAGACATCACAGCTACATCTCCTCCGGGACGAAATTCATCTTCTTTGTTTTATTCAGCTTATTCTATTATCCAAATAGTATACACATCACAACAATTTAATTACTAGAAGGGGATTAAAGAAATATAATGGCCGCCTGATTGAAAAAAGAGAGCTTTTAACTTCTCAACTCTTCAAGTTGGGGGGATGGTCTCAACATTTCTTCCTCTGTTTTGGTAGCCATCTAACTTTGCTCCTGCTGAGGCCCTCTAGATCATTTGTTTGGTTGTCCTACCCTAAGGGCAGGGTACGCAGCAGCCTACTCCATATTTTGCCAAACCAAAAATTACCCAATACCCAATACAATCAAATTTCTTCTGCCTACTCAAACCCAACCCAGCCGCCTACTCCACTTTTTGCCAAACCAAAAATTACCCAATACCCAATACAATTAAATTTCTTCTGCCTACTCCGACCTAACCCACTCAAAATTTTCCCTTTAACAAAATAATAGCTCAGCCCACTCAAACTTTCTCATTTAACAAAAACAATAAAAAGCAATGAAAGATGGGAAAGTTATATGGAGAATTTTTTCAACGTTGACTAACATTGTGAATTTTGTTAGTGTTCTGCTAAGCGCCGTAAAGAATTAAATTTAATTCGAAAAGCTGAACTCAAAGAGTTATTGGATTCTAGGGAACTTGAGACAGGTAGAAGACTTAATTAAGGTCGTAGTTTGAAACGAGCTGGAGCCACTCGTTGGGGATCTCACTTTGTCTCTATTACAAGTTTGGTGAGTTTATTTAAAGAGACTAAAATACTTCACCAGGAAATCAGTGATTATGGACCTAACCAACAATTTCGTGGCGATGCAGAGAGTAACTATATTGCTATGATGTCTTTTGAGTTTGTGTTTTCATTGCTTTTGATGGATAAAATTATGGGATTGACCAATTTTCTTTGTCAAGTGTTTCAAACAAAAACTCAAGATATTGTAAGTGCTTTAAACTTTGTTGAAAACACAAAATCACAGTTCCGAGATATGAGGGCACATGGTCGGGATGATTTATTCATGAGTGTGGTATTATTTTGTGAACAACATGGTATTAATGTTCCTAATATGAGTTCTTGTTATATGATGGGCACACGTCATTTTTGTCAACTAAAAGATTTCATTATAGTTGAACATTACTATTGCATTGATGTATTTAATGATGTGATAGATTGCATGTTGAGGGAGTTAAATGACAGATTTCCAAAGCAAACAGTTGAACTTCTTATTCTTAGCTCAGCATTGGATCATCGTAATTCCTTCAAATCATTCAATATTGGGCATCTATGTAAACTTGCTGAGTGTAACGACCCGGTCCTAAATAACTTGGTAAATATTAATTTATTCAGATAAAAGACCATTTTGCCCCTAGAATATTTTATGGGTTTTAAAGTTGACTTTTTGACCAGGAAGAAATTTGGGAATTTCGACTGTACCATTGTGTAGAGCACAGCGAGATGAGTTCATAGACACGTGGTGGGCTTGAATTGGAGTTGTATCGAGAGAGATACGATCAAAATACCCTCAGTGGCATAATCATAAATATTGCGAAAAGGGTTTGATAAAAGTCAGAAAAGCCCTCATCTCTCTCTCTCTTCTCTCGCGACGGCTGTAACAGTTTGCCACGTTTTGGCCTACCGTGCTCTCGTCCGGCCACCAAAGCTGACAGGGCCGGTACCAAAATGACTTGGCCGCCGTCCTCTTCCAACCCCAGCCAAGCCCCACCGTGTTCCGCCGTGATTTCGCCGGAAAAATCGAAGAGAAACGGTCGGATTTCTCCGACTTCGTTCTCCGTCATCCGGCCACCAATTTCCGACAAATTAGGTATGGTTTCTCACCTATTTTCCGAGCTTTAGCTGATGGTTGGGTAGGATTGCATCAATTTTTAGCTTAAATTGTCTGATTTTCGAATTGGATTTCAGCCGAATTTCGGGATGAGATTCCGGCCACTTCCGGTCAGTTTTTGGGGTATGTCCAAGAACAAAAGTGGTTCCAAATAGGGTGTTATACCTAGGATAGGAGTCTTGAGTCGTGATTTTGAGTTTTCCAGGCAAAAGATTATCGTTTTGGATGCCCAAGAGTTGCCGACACGTGTGGCAGTGCCTGGGCACTGTAGAAAAGGAGCACTATGTCCCGAGGTGATCTCCTGGTCCTCATGAGTGCATAGGTGTGCTCGGATGTCAATTTGGATACCGTTTGAGTCTCGAATGGATATCGCCTATTGCGCGTTATCTAGGTTCGATAGGTTTGAACCGTTGGATAGTCTTGAATTATTATATTTAACCTTCCGATCGTGCGATCGTGAGCGATCCGACCGTGCGATCTAGACAAAACTTGCAGGAAGTGTGTCCTAAGCTTTATAGAACACATAGGAACTTTCAAATCGGAATTTGGAGGTCTTGAGCCCCGTGTGCCCCTTTGACCAAGTTTGGGTAGTTTGACCCTTAGTTGACCGTGAGTCTTCTGAGGTAGTTTTACCTTCCTAGGAGGATTACAATGACCCTAGTGATAGGCCTTGAGCATTGTTGAGTTATGATGATTATGTGGATTAGGATATTAATTTATTGTTTTAAATTGGGGGATTATCAGATGCTATATTGTGGTTGAGGTTTATGCAATATTGGAAATTAATATATATATATATACATATATTA